GAACAATATTGTATCTGTTTTTATCTTAACCGGAATATAAACAAATTTAAAGATGGACTAAGTTTGCAAAGAAGCCATAATAAACTTCTACGTTTAAGAATTTTGATCGGAAAATTCCCTTTTTAAACCATTGCATTAACTATATTTTCTTGGGAAGTATAGTAATATCTAATATAGCCGGAATTTTTACTACAAATCATGGCTTAAATACTGGAAGTTTTGATGAAAAAGATTTCCATTTTAAAAAGCGTACACCTAATTCATATCTAGACCAATAATATGAAAATATAAATTTTTCAAAAATACCTAAGGAGACTTCGTGAAAAAATAATTTCAAACAAAAACCACAGAAAATGCACATTTTAAACCAAAACTGAGTGTGAAATCGAAAATCCTCTTTATTACTTAAAAGAGCTGAAGAATGAAAATTACGAGTTGAACGAAAAATAATGTCGCTTATAAAGCTAAAAATACCAAATTCTTCTTAACCGTATCGTATTAGCTTGACAGTTATTATGGTTTTAAAATCTTACAAAGGACTTGTTAAACAACCAGGGACGCTCAAACACTTCTGTTTCTTTTCACACACACCCCCCTAGCGGAATTAAAAGTTATTCCAAGGTGAATTCGGAAAATTTATTAGAGTGAATAAAACTTTAAGTGACACACTGAGTTTGAACGAACGTTAACCAAACGGACTGTTGGTAAAGCGTGGCACGGGTAAGTACAAAGCGTGCCTAATTGAGAGCCTCATCCCGCGAAAACTGAAAGCAGGAAGTAAGGGATCGGAAACAAATGTTTCCGATCCCTTACTTCCTGCTTTCAGTTTTTAATTATTTTTCAGGAACTTGCTACTTTTGTCACAGGTTTGGTCCGGTCATTTATCCTGTTACTTGTTTGTTTATCTTTTAACTTTCATACTTTTCCTTCGAAGGAAAAGTATGAAAGCTAAAAGATAAACGAACAAGTAACAGGATAAATGACCGGACCAAACCTGTGACAAAAGTATCAAGTTCCTGAAAAATAATTAAAAACTGAAAGCAGGAAGTAAGGGATCGGAAACATGAAGGAAAAGTATGAAAGCTAAAAGATAAACGAACAAGTAACAGGTTAAATGATCGGACCAAACGTGTGACCAAAGCAGCAACTTCCTGAAAAATAATTAAAAACTGAAAGCAGGAAGTAAGGGATCGGAAACATGAAGGAAAAGTATGAAAGTTAAAAGATAAACGAACAAGTAACAAGATAAATGACCGGACCAAACCTGTGACAAAAGCAGCAAGTTCCTGAAAAATAATTAAAAGACATATGTAAACTTCTGACTAGAAAAAAAACTAATGGCTAAGTAACCGTATATAGAATAAAATAACAGCGGCTAAGTTAAGATGTCATACTTAATTTGATTTAAAATATGTAGTTTCTGTTGTTTTTCAGAAAAATTAATTTTTCATGGGAACTCCCTAGGCTATACCCTTTGTATTATTGAAAAATTCGTGGACATTTTATTTTTATATCGTTGGTCTAGAGAGATGCACTTGATATACGCTTTACGTTTAAAATTGTGATCCCAGCCCGGAAAAAGTGCCCGTCCGAGTTAACGAATAGCGATTAAATTTTCAAATTTTTGTTAAAATGCTGTTATTTTAGTCTATATACGGTTACTTAGCCGCTGTTATTTTAGTCTATATACGGTTACTTAGCCGCTGTTATTTTAGTCTATATACGGTTACTTAGCCGCTGTTATTTTATTCTATATACGGTTACTTAGCCGCTGTTATTTTAGTCTATATACGGTTTCTTAGCCGCCGTTATTTTATTCTATATACGGTTTCTTAGCCGCCGTTATTTTATTCTATATACGGTTTCTTAGCCGCCGTTATTTTATTCTATATACGGTTACTTAGCCGCTGTTATTTTAGTCTATATAC